TGACCATTGTACAACTACTTCTGACCCCTCACCATCCACTAACCGGAAACATGTCCTGATCTTTCACATTTGTTCATTCTGCTTCCATCCTCCTGAAAGGATATTTTCCTTTGATGACGTCAGACAAGAGCAGACTACTTACTACAAAGTGATAAAGGGACTCAAAAGGGACGTTACAATGTGGTTTGCAATTCTGTGCAATGTTTAATTATTCCAAGTGACAGGCTTTCTAGTCTGGATAACTTCCAGCCTAAGCAAACAGTTTCACAAAGGCTGTAAAGCTCATTATCAAGAGACCAAATGGTTCAACACCAAAGCAAAACTTCCTTTGTAGGTAATTTCCTTATGCTAAAGAGCGGTTATTGAACTTTGGCCATGCACTGGCTGCTAGAAAAGTATTTTATAATATAATGTTGTAGCAATAACATTTAAAAAAAATAAACCATATCGCCTTAGATTTTTTTTTTTTGTTCTGTTGAAGCATTCTTTAAATGGCAGACTAGGATTTACAAAACAAAGGCTTTTGTTATAAGTAAAGGCTTTCCTACAAACCTTGCATATTACAGATTTTTCCCAGTGTAGTTCTGGGCTGTGAATTCACTGCTGTATGACACACCCACAAAACATACAAAGTGGGCAATGCCCTTCTGTGATAAATACATAAGTATCCTGTTTCATTAAGTAATGCGAGTCACAGGAACTGACATAACCTAATCTTGGATAATTCATTTAATAATTAATCGTCACAGCAAATTGGGTTTCACCTTTGGGGCAACAATTACTGCCTTAGCAACCTAAAGCTAAAAAAGGATTACACAAAGGGAATAGTCAGCAAAAAAAAAAGCATTTTGAGTCTTTATTTTGTTTTAAATTCTGCAAAAGAACAAGCAAACAGCAGGCAGCGAATAAGACAAAACCACATCTAGTTAAATGAACAACAGTAATGTTTATTTAAAAAAAAAAATACATAAAATGCCATGTGAATTCATCATGGTGACTTAAAAAAAATAAAAGGATCTCTATATTTAGTTGGATTTTTTTTTTAAATATCTAATGGACTCTGAAAGTAAAAATTTATATGGAAGCCAAGAGTTCCTTCATGTCATAAACCTTATTTAATAGGGAATAATTCAAAAACACATTAATATGTTCATTCAACCAGTGCAGTATGAAACACAGATTTATTAAAGGTACAGGAAAGTCAAGGGTAGGTGCTGTCCAAAGATGCAGAAGCAGGCTCTAGCAATTGTTTGTCAAACTGTTTCAGATGGAGAGCTGATAAATGGCTGACTGTTAAGCTGGCCATACACTGGTAGATTTGTGTACGAACATCCATACAACAAATCTGATCAGACTGTTGAGATTACATTTTAGAATAAGACCACTTTCCTCTTATAGAAAACAAAATACCTCCCAGTAGAGTTCAGCTGTTCCCTCTCAGAGTCTGTCCTTCATTGTTTTTTTAAATACGTTATTTCACTTTTTATAACATTTTTACCCGGAAAGCTCTATATTTATTAAGTGAGACTGTCTACACTCCTCCAGCAGTCCATTTAAAGTGACATTTAACTCAGGAGTCAAGGAGTAGTTCACAATAGAAACTGCATCACAACTGCGTGCGTCTGCGCAGTTGCATTGCGATCCGTTTTGATGCGTTTTTCCCCCTGGATGATGCCACAATCGATTCTGGGGGGTTTTTATGCGTTCGTGCGTTTTGATGTGTTTGCATGCATTTTGATGCATTTCGGTGCAGTTAGAAGCAGCAGTACTTATTCTGACTGCATCTGAACGAACTGCAATGGTGTGAATACAGCACGAGAAAGCCCATAGGAAAGCATTGTGATGTATTTTGGCTGCAGCAGTCAAACTGAACGGACTGCATCACAACTGCATACGGTGTGAACTAACCCCAAGACATAAAAATGCATTCAAGTACCCTAATAACAAAAATGTTTCTTATTTGTGTATCACTCAGTTGTAGATCCTCAAATCATCTCTGAATTGGTTCTGACACCGCCCTTCCTTCTGAAGGGTGGTTACTTTTGTTCTCCATGGTCCCAGTGTATGTTGCCACCGCTCCAAGCTTGCTCCCGTCATGGACTACAATCTCAATACAAAAGAGCAAACTAAACGTGAGATTGTAGTCCATCATCGGAGTGAGCTTAGATCGGTGGATACTTTACAATTCACACAGGGACCATGGGGAATAAAAGTAGCCTCCCTCCAGAAGGAAGAACAGGGTCAGCTAGACATCTGCAAGGACTAAACATTTGTTTCGAGCTCAATGAACGAAAACAAAAAAACGTTTTCATCCGTTTTGTCAAACGAAACCCATTTTTATGCTAATTCAGCTTCGGAGGCAAAGTGCCTCCGAATTCAAATCTGCAAATGTAAACAAAAGAACGCTTGGCAGCCATATCGGCCAACGGCGTGTTCTGCGCATGCGCACCACCATCCTGGACACAAGACACATGTTACATGACGCTGCACGTGCGTGGCGTTGGGTGATGTCACACGCCTACTGGACACTGCCATCTTGGTGTATATGTAGGTATACACCATGATGGCAGCACCTATACCGGCTTGTGACATCACCCGGTGCTGTGCACGTGCGGCGTCATGCACCCTGCCTTCAAGATGGCACCATGCATGCACAGGATGCTCTCAAACTGATTATGGGCCCGAATACATTTTTTCGTATATTCAGCCATGTAATCATTTGTTAATTCGGATTCGGATGAACCGCCAAATCAATGGAATTTCAAGATACATTTTTGTTATAACTTAAGGTACTTGAATGTATATTTAAGATTTAAACTCTGGAGTTTAGTGTCACTTTAAAGTTTGTGTTCTCAGCATTTCTAGACTACAGTGGTGACACCAGCAAAAATTATTATGGCAGTCATTTTTACCTGATGTCACCCAGCTGCAGTCTGACTTTTTTAAGCGCAAGAGGCAGTACAGGAAAAATGGTAAAAGAGGAGAAAACAGTTGTGCTGCGGTAATGGAGGACATGAATGGGATCATTAATATATCTTTGCTTGCTTTACTCCACCCTAACTTAAAGTGACATTAAAGTCAAATTTTTTCCCCCCTCCCCCCATGTAAATGTTAACACTTACCTTAAATGATGTCTCTACTCTTCATGTCCCGCCCTTAGCCAATTCAAAGTCTCCATGTGAAGTAATAGTTTTTACTGTGGCCATGTAACAAATGGTGAAGCCACCTTCCCTAAGGATACTTGAAATCCTGCGCTTTACAAATGAATGGGATTAAACTTTCCAAGTCACACTGAAACCTTTTCCATAATATGTGAGCTGGGATCTCTCCCTCCTTGTGCCTCTGCCAGAAAAGTTCTTTAATCCGCAGCTCAGTGAAGCATTAGGAAAAGTAATGCACTCTGCCTTTACACAGACACATTTGGGTCAGCTATCACTTAACGCAATGTTTAATAGAAACAGCACAAACATCACAAAAAATACTCACTAGTATATTTATTACCCCATTAAAAGATTGCCTGTTAAAATAAATGGGTTAACTGGGATGGTTACCCTTGAGGCTAGTATCAATTACAAATGCATGTAATTGGCAAATAGTTCTAGCGAGTGGCAGCTGACAAATGTGAACAAACTCCCTCAATGAACCTCACAGCTACTAAGACAACCATGCATGGCATGTACGAGGTAAGGGCTTGTTCACGCCAAATGCAGACCAGATCTGTACGAGTTTCTGCACACACAGTGCAGTGTGTTATACTGCGTTTTTGATGCATTCCGGGCCGTTTTTGGTAAAAAAAATATATATTTTTAGTTTAAAATGGGATTTTCAGTGCGTTCCAGGGCGTTTACATGCATTTTTGATGCGTTTGCATGCGTTCCAGAGCTGGTAAAATAGGGCTTGCTGCAGTTTTTTTTACATGCTCTGGAACTGAACACTGCGCTGTGAACTAGAGCCCAAAATACCATTGGACGCAGTTTTGATCCGGTCTGTAACTGCTCTGCTCCTGGAACGCGCTTGGTGTGAACAGGCCCTAAATGTAAGAACTGAAGGCACATATACATGACTTCTTAAAAAAACTCCTAAATGTTCTCTTGATTGAAAAGTCAAGCCAAAGTATAAGAGAATATCAGAAAGGAAACAAATAGCATCTCTCTCAGATAGATCCAGGCTTCATGAACTATTTATCGGTAACCTTTCTTTAACCTTAGACTTTCTTCAATAAAACTGCTGAACCATCCAATTTCACCTAAACGCTATAACAGTAATTATAATACTGTTGAGCTTTACGAACAAGCACATTTTGTTGCTACCTTCCTAGGATTGTGCAACCAACAAGCTGTTCTTTATTATATGTACTGTAGACACACCTTTTTTTCAATACATCCTCTGACTAAAGTACATTGGAAGTGAACAGAAAAGACAAAATGCAAATTCAAGCTGACTGCACTCAAGCGCAGCAAAAAAAAAAAAAAAAATACATTAAATTTGTTAAATTTTGTCAAATTTAAATTTTGTAAAAAGGTGTTAACATAACTCAATTCCATAGCTCTCTGCATTGGCAAATACACATGCATATATACTCCAATTACTACAAAGAGCTTGAAATAGATACTGTTGCCTTCTAATATTTACCTTTTATTTTAGCCTCTACACAAAAATGTTTGGCAAACATTCACTACAGGAAGTTGCTTGTTAACGTAAAGTAGCAACATATAATTCTAAATAGCATCCTCGCTTCTAAACTGCACAATATTCAATCAACTAGCTCTTTTTAACCTGCACCTCTGAACTTTGTAAGTCTTCTATAATTACACACCACCACCAAATAAGTCAACTTACCAGTTAAAGTTATTGTGCCCAGCATATTTTCTTTCTGAGATTCTTATCCGTGTACCACTAACCAACACAGCAGCAGCTTTATCCAGTGTACTCTAGGACAAGTAGTTAATTCCTTGTTACAGCTGTGAACAGTAGATGTCGTGTGAGGCTTGCTTGAAAACCAGGCAGTATTCTAAGAAAATCCAAGTCACTTGTAAGAAAATATATGACATTCCAGTGTTGTCTCCTCTGCTGTTCTTCCTGGGGTCTGTGAAATGAGAGGGAAGCTTCCTTCACACCCCTTTAACAACTTGCCTGACTGAGCAGCCCAAAGTTCTACACACCCCCTTCCCCGACCCCACCCTGTTCTATTGTCTGCCAACCCCCAGACCCCACAGAGAGGACTTCAAATTGCTCAAACTGGAGGATAGACTCACACAGATCCTTGCGTCCAATACATGACTTCATTGAATAGGGAATTAGCATGTGCAAACAAAAGTCCTCCCCCCCTTATCTTTAGAATTTTCCTCACATACCATGACAATGCCCTTTTTTCTTCCTTAACCTTTGGGATTTAGCAAATGTAAATTGAACCTGTCTTTTATAATCTTTCTCTTTTTTTCCAAGTGGTTTTTACTCAAGACTCTCAATAGCATAAAGAAAAAAAAACTTTTCCTTCCCACATTATAAAGTCCTCCTGTGCCAAATGGGAAAACAAATATGCATGTTTTGTTTGTGATAACCTGATATACACACAAGTAATCTTCTTATGTGCCAGGATGTGTTTAATTGGAAAAAAAATAAAAATCTGCGACTTAGAAGACCCCACATTTGTTCCTCTAAGCAGGAGTCCTCGCAATCTGCAAACTTAATTAAGCCCTCGTGCACACCTGAACGTTTTGTAGCGCGTTCTACGCTCGACGAACGCTCTACAAAACGCTCAAAAATATAAATCCCATTGTATTCAATGGTCTCGTTCCCACCTTGGCGTATTTCCGCCCGTCCCTAACGCGCTACAAAACGGCCCACGCCTGAAAAGGTACAGGTACTACTTTGGGCCGTTTTGTTGCGCATTTTCATTGGGATACAGCCAAGTAGCCTTCGGAAACGCGCGTAAAAAAACGTGCAACAGACGCGCATATGCAATACGCCTAGGTATGAACGAGACCTAAAAGCCATTTACATTTTGAACAGCCTCCACTGCTACTGGCTGAATTCATTTTTCAAAGGTTTTAAACATACATACCTTACTTACTCCAGGGGTCTTCCGGCTGGTCATGTGACAAGCAGGGTCCTTCTTCTATTCCTCCAGCTTCAGTAGTCCTTAGTGATGCATAGAACAACGCCTACATTGTGATTTGTGAGCCTGATTCTATGCAACATTCTCCCGTGAGCCCAGGCTGCATGATGATGCACTTTTAGGAGATTTATCATGACATTTTGAGCTCACAGGAACTGGATAGTAAATGACTGGCTGCCAATGATGGAGGATGCAGAGGTACCTTTGATAAGAAGTTGTCCTACAAAGAAGAACTACGGGAAAAAATATTCTTAACCCTACAGTGGGGCCAGCCCCGCGCTGCAAGGGTTAAGTGCTCATTTCTAGGGAGTAAAACAACAAAATTATACTCAACTTAACCTTGCAGCCGACTGGCTGTTAGACTTGTCCCTGGAGCCTCTCCCCCCTCCGCTCCTGCCGTCAATACACTGTGTACAGGACGTGAGGACACTGAGGGACATACGATCGCTGGGGCGGAGGAGGAGACAGGTTGGAGGGAGAGCTGTAACAGCTAGCCAGCTGTAAGGTTCGGGTGAATATAACTTTATTATTTTAGACCCTAGACAAAAACGAGCACTTAACCTTTGCACTGCAGGGATAGCCCCACTGCAAGGATTACAAATTATTTTTCCTGGCGTTCTTCTTTAAAGCATGTTCCCACTCACATTGGTGCAGCCAACATGGTTACATACTAACTTTTTCTCATCCCCATTCCAGTGATGTTTATGGCCATAGCCCCATTCATTGCTATGGGCAGCCTTACTCACGGTGACCTCCAATGGGCTTGCGAAGTATGGCTTTCCCCGTAAGCATAAAAAGGGCCACAGTTAAGGATGAAAAGGATATGGCAGGGGAACTTTTGGGAGAAAGGCTGTGTGGCTCCAGGCAGGGCCCTGCAGTGAAGATTAGCAGCTTTATTCATAGTATGCAGGAATATAAGAAAAAATATATGTACATACTCTATTACAATAATAACAAAAAAAGTTAATCTAAAGCTGGCCACACACCAGTTTGATTTATACCCAGATTTAATTTGGTAAACTGAGCAGTAACTGTAGTGTGTGTGTCTACCGAAACAATCTATTCAATTTAAATACAATATGCAATTATTGAAGGAGAGGTGACTACTAACTGAATACCATTGCGTTTGCAAAAGCAATATATATTATAACCATGGTATTCATTAATGAAAGTAGTAGCACAGTAACTCTTTATTTATTACATTCAGTGTTCCACCATCCCAAATATTCAAAGTAATAATATCTAAATGGGACTTTTTGGACACCATTTAGAAATACTCTATACTCATATGTTTTACATTGTAAATAATAAAAAATTGCCATTCCTTAAATAAAACACCAGTTTATATATTTTTTTCATCCTTTGTTGCCACTCAATGCTGCTGCTCTACTGCAGCCACTTCCTGTCCATATGCACACAATCCAGGGATGGCTGCATAGCATTCCTGCTTATTATATATCCCATATTTATTTGTAAGAATATTACATGGGTTGGGGGTTAAACTAGTCAATATCACTGCATCATATCTGTGTGTAGCTATATAACTCCCATGTAAAAAGAATGATTGTTCTCTGACCTCCATCTATTGGCTATTTTTTCAATCGATTTTGTAGCCAGGTAGAAAATTGTCAGCCAACGAGCAACGAGCCTCCGAATCTGAAACTTCCCATTGAAACTACAGAACGTGCGGCCATATCTTGGGGGTGGAGCACATGACGTCACACACCAAGATGGTTGCACCCAAACATGCGTATGATGTCACCCAAAGCCGCACAGCGCAGCGCCATGTGACGTCATGCGCTCTGCCTCCAATTCTGCAAACAAATTTAAATATGCTTGAATATAGTTTTTGTATATTTGGGCATGTAATACATTTGTTATTTCGGATTTGGGCGAACCGCCGAATAAACTGAATTTATTTGATTTGCAGGATCGTCCGAATCTGAATGCACATGTCTACTGTTTGTGTATTCTGATTGCCACAGGTGGCGGCTGTAATAATACAATAGCCGAGAGTGGAGATTCATCCATTCACACTGTTTAGAGTAGATGGGGGAATTAAGCCTTTTTCTCTATACCTGTATGACCAGCTCAGATCCCTTACGTTTCCTGGCAGCAATGAGATTACATTTCTTTTATTCAAACTGCAGGCTGAATTAAAATAAATGGAACAGTGTATGGCCAGCTTTAGTCAGCTAGAGTTTTGACATGGGGGTAGAAAAGAGAGGTCTGTTGATACAGACTGCAAAGTGCCTGGGGAATAATGCAAAAAAGAAGTTGCTCTGTGATCTCATTACCCATGGAGGGTAGAATATACATCCTCATCCTGGTCACTTTCAGCCATATTCTAATTAGCTTATTGTTTTGGGATGGTTGGTTGGGTGGGATGAGTTGGAGAGTGTATTTACAATACAAACAAACTTAACATAGCCTAAGGTAACAGGGGTGAAAATATTTTGATAGGAATTGAATTAGCCTTTTCAAATGCAATGCATTTTTGCCCCTTCCTTGCTATAAAAAGTCTAATCTAATGTCCCCCAACAGTCACACACTATTATTATACATTTCTATATCTCTGACATATAACACAGTGCTGTACAGGGAACACTGAACCAGTCAAATCAGTCTCTGTACAGAGGAGCTTACACTCTAGTACAGAATGGCACCAGCTGTAGAGGGACTACAAATCCCAGCAAAATATTATACAGCAATGTAGAATAGTATATGAATTGGACCCTGCACTTAGCAATGCACTGGACCTTGCACTTAGCAACGCACTGGACTCTGCACTTAGCAACGCAATGGACCCTAGACTTAGCAACGCACTGGACTCTGCACTTAGCATCACACAGGACCCTGCACTTAGCAACGCACTGGACTCTGCACTGAGCAATGCATGGGACGCTGCACTGAGCATTGCACTGGACCCTGCACTGAGCAACGCACTGGACTCTGCACTGAGCAACGCACTGGACTCTGCACTGAGCAATGCACTGGACCCTGCTCTTAGCAATGCACTGGACCCTGCTCTTAGCAATGCACTGGACTCTGCACTGAGCAACACACTGGACCCTGCACTTAGCAATGCACTGGACTCTGCACTTAGCAACGCACTGGACTCTGCACTTAGCAACGCACTGGACTCTGCACTTAGCAACGCACTGGACTCTGCACTTAGCAACGCACTGGACTCTGCACTTAGCAACGCACTGAACTCTGGACATAGCAACGCACTGGACTGTGGACTGCAATATTTCATTCCACGCTGGGATAGAGAAATAGGTTATAATAGGGAACATTACAGTGTAATGTTCCTTATTATAATCCATTTCTCTAATTAAATCAAATCACAGCACTCTGTGTGCAGGCTGTGGGCTCCCCCTCACCCCCTCACTCACCCCTCTCACTGACTCAGTCACTTACCTTATACACTCTAGTGCTGCCAGAGCCCGGCACCATCCTGGCCACACGGTCTGAAGTGGGCGGGGCATGTGCACGCATCCGGAGAAACGTGATTCGCCGGTGTTTCCTGTATACCGCCTGCATTGTATTCAGGGCATATACATTGCAGGCGGTATATGGACCCCCGCAGCGCCCCCTTATGCTATGCAACTGAAAGTGGGAGGACAGCAGCAGACTGACAGCCTCGGAGTCTCTGTGCTGCCCAGCCTGCTGTATGCCACCACAGCACCAGCTCAGCCTGAATTAGAGAGACCCTCCCCACATCCCAGTCCTCCCCTGTCAGTGGGCCCCCGTAGCTTTGAGCCCTGGGGCAGCCGCACTGGCTACACAAATGGTAGGTCCGCCCCTGAATCAACCCCAATGAGCTTCCGCAGGAGTGGGGTATAGGCAACAGTAGAAACCTGACATGCGTTCTAACCCTTACTTATGCTATTTAAAACTATAATAAGATTCTGGCTTTAGATACATTTATTACAATATTACA